TCAGCTTTTGTGTCTGTTGAAACTCTTTAGTAGGATAGTCATAAAGAGTAGGCTACAGAGATGCCACAACTGGAAGTTCTTTGAGATTGGATTTTTCCAGTGATGTTTATAATTGGAAGATTTTGCATTCTCCAGTTATTAGGTAGTTTGTTTCTAGCAACCATTTACCCTCTGCTATAAGATTTATTTCAAGTAAAAATTAAAGGATTCAACTAGTACCAAAGTGAAGTAGGATTACAATTTTATTACAGCTATATTATACCCCAGACTGCTAAGATTCAAACATTCTGTCTGCCTTTTATAGGTAAAGTACTTCATCTTTGTGCTCCCTAGGTCTCGTGGCAAACATCTTTTTTTTGGTCTTCTAGCTTATTAGGCAATAATACTTCCTACTACTAGGGTATTATTAACAGAAGAATCCTGGCACATAGTAAGCATTCAGTGAATGTTGACCATTAAAGTTCTTTTATCATCATTCTGTTGTTAATGTTATGGTGTAACATAATCTTAATCCTGAAGAATTCTTCAAAAGGCCCATTCCAACATTTTCTGTAATCTCCTGGAAGATAAACAATAAAACTACCTTAAAATATATGTGTACCCTAATACTTATTTAATTCTTTTTTCCTGAAGAAAAACAGAAATAACACTTAAAATGATTTATAATCTCAAACACTAAAAACATATATTTTCATTTTTTTAATAGTTCCAGTATTTCTTATAGGTCAGAAGTTAAAGATAAATGAGATGTGTTCTTAAATGATTAGCTTGTAGTCCTTACTTTGTTGTTCTTTTAGCAAATAGTTTTTCAGAAAGAAGTTGTTCACCAGATTTGTAATATTAGAAAGTAGTGAGAGGGCACTATAATTTGATTCAGCAAAAAAGAATCTAGTTCTGATTCTAGCACTTCTAAACTTGGTGACCTTAGGTTTACCAATTAATTATCTATAAAATTGGAATGATATGAAAGCTGTCTATTTCCCTTCTGTGAAGCTATATGTAAATACACACAAGGTATTATTATTGCATTGCTCAACTGCTGTAGCCTATTAAGGCACTAGGTCTTAGGCCCATGTCAAGGTTCATATTTCTCTGCTTGCTTTCTTTTTGGTTGTAGACTCTAATGAGTCTACTTTGTCTCCCTTTTTAAAAATCTAAGTTCTGACTTCATCTGTAAGTGGTGTTTTTTTTTTTTTTTGTCTTCTAGAACTGGTCAAAGGGTGCAATGTGTTCTTAGCCAGCCACCTGCTCCTATTCCTTGGAGAGGCTGTTCACTTTCATAAAAGAAGAAGATCGTTATGGGAAATGCCACATGGGTTACAAAATAAGCCTAAGAACATGAAAAAAGTTTCATAGTCTTATCAAATTTTTATGTTCATGGTGCCTGGAATATGATCTATGATGTCCTGCCTATATGGGACACGTGGGATAGAGTACAATTCTCTTCCACTGTTTCCTTCTCAACTCCCCCCCTCCCCCAACCCTTTGAAGAAGGCCTAGACACTCCAACCCACAGATAGAAAGATTTGAAGAGCTAATCAAATAGAAAAATTATTATTACCATAAGTAGGTAATTTGTATGTCTGAAGCCCTCATGCCTGGGTGTTTCACATCTCAATGGCTTGATGTACATATTATAACCTCTTTGTACATTTCTTTATTGCTTCCTTCATTGACAACTTTTATGCAGCTGTCTGGTCTCCTTTAGACACGTGGAACAACAATCCTATTCTAGAGAAAAACAAGAGATTTACAAGACTCACTTTTTGAAAAAACTAAGCTTTTTTTCTTTTTCTATTATGTAGAGAATTTTAAGTTTATAATTTTTTGTTTATTGATATAAAGAGAATGGATTTCATGTATTTCATAGAAATAATTCTAAGAAGATAACCATACTTTCCTCCCACTCTCCATCCCTCAATCCTCTTCCTTACTTCATTTCTTTTTTCCTTTAATTTTTGCAATAACATACTTTGAATTTACTTTATAATTGCAGGCTTAATGAACCACTAACCATAGTGTTCAACAAGTAAAAAGTAGAAAGACTACTATTCCACAGGATTATAGACAAGGGCTTTAAACAATAATCAAATCAAAAGATGTTGGTAAAATTGAGCTGTCTTTAAGAATTTCTGTGAACTCTAATTCCCTTCAGTTTTCAATTTTAACTGGTCAAATATTAAAGAAAAATAATTTAGAGGAGGATATTATACAACTTCCTGATAGATATCTTTCCCTATCAACAAATCTTACCAATACTTAGAATACTGACCAGAATGATCTAATGCCAATTCCATTTAGCGAGTAGGTGAGATGGAACTATAACAAGAAGTTGCTGAGACATTTCTAATTGTCAGCCACCCTCATTTATCCATTTGACTAAAATATTTGTGATATGGATATTGCAAGCAGTCTCTTTCAGGTTTCTTAATTATTGCTATTATAGCCTATAAAGATAAGCAGTTGTGGTTGTAGATATGGCTCTGAGAATTCTCATTCCCATTTACTGGACGTTAATATATAATATATATTAAATATTTGGCTAGAAGGTAGAGATGCAGAGAGGAACAAAACTAGATAACTGTTAGTTCCTCTGGTAAGAGGAAAACTGACAACTCAGTGGACAGGTACTATAAACACTTGAACACATATTACCGTGATAAATCCTCATGATAACTCTATGAGCTGCTACTATTATTATTCATACTTTACAGATGAGAATATAGAGGGACTGGGAAAACTTGCCCAAATATTTTACTCTTAAGAAGTTGCAGAGCCTGGATGTGACCCCAAGCAGGCACTTCAGAGCCCATACATTTTACCACACTTTGTTAGCAATGTGAAGCATACTAGAGGGGGAAATTACTGGGAATTGATGAGGGCTAGTTTTAAGAGATATTTCTGCAGTAAGATTTGTTGCAGCTGATAACCACTTGGCCAAAGATGTAAAGAGAAGAGTCAAAAGTAATTGATTTTAGATTGTTAGACTAGGTTGATAGTAGTGCCAGAAAATAAGATTGGAAATATAAGGGGTGGAGTGGGTTTGGAAAGTCATTGAATATAAAGGGCCTGTATGATACCTAGGAGACATTCTTCTGATCCAGAACTCAAGATTCTGACTATTAATAATAGTAATGGTGGTGATGACAATAATAGCCAACTGAGAACTTTTAAATGTAATTTACATGTACTAACATGGAATTCTCACATTAACTATGATGAGGCGCCCCTCCCCCACTCCCACCCCAACTCTGCCTCTTGGTAGTTGAAGAAACTGAAATTCATAGAATCTAAACAGTTTGTGAACCTCACTCTGCTTCTTTAACCATGCTGCCTCTTAATCCATTAGAATTGAAAAAGATCAGATAAGAGATGGCTCTTGTAAATTGCCCTGGCTAGAAATAATGAAGCTTAGCTGAAGGTGCTGTAAAGGTAGCCAGAGAACCAAATTCCCTCCATATGCCTACAGAGTTTTGAGGAAGCTCTCTTGGCTTTTTGGTGCCCTCTTGTGGACTATACAAGAGTTACCTGATTTAATATTTATCAGCAGAACTTCTTTTCCTATCTTAGGACTCAGAAAAATTTAGGTACCTTCTCTGGCACCTCTCCTTTCATAGCTAATTACACTTCAGCTATCTCTTATTTTTCTCATTCTTTTTTGTGTAATTACTGTACTTGCAAAAACACATTTCTGCGCTCTCCATTTCTGTCACTATCAAAAACCTTTGTAGGGGCCAGCATTGTGGCCTAGCCAGCAAAGCTGTCACAGACAATAGAGGCACCTGCTTCATGTCCTGGCTGCTCCACTTCCAATCCTACTCCCTGCTAATGGCCTGGGAAAATCAACAGAAGATGGCTCAAGTGCTTGGGCACCTGCACCCCAGAAAAAACTCCTGGTTCCTGGCTTTGGCCTGGCTTAGCCCCGGTTGTTACTGCCATCTGGGCAAACAGTGAATGGAAGATCTCTCCCTCTCTCTCTAACTCTGCCTTTCAAATAGATAGATAGATATATGAGTGAATGAAACTTTAGGAATGTATTGAATACCTATCATGTGCCTGGCCATGTTTTAAGCCCTTGGAATACATCAATTTTCATTAACCTCTCCTGGCTTGTAGGCTAAGAGAGGTAGACATGTAAAATACTCCTTTAGAGAGCTTTGGCAATGCTGTGTATCTCTTTACAGCAAGCACTAGACCAGGAAGGGAGGTTGCAGGAAACTATGTAACTATACTGATATTCCTGTGGAGGCTGGGCAGATTAGAGAGGCTGCAAGAAACAGATTCACTTGCATTTGGAGTTTGGAGGAAAAAAGCAGCTAATGTTGGTGGGGCTTGTTTGTTTTTAAAGAAGCTATTAATCGGGGCTGGCGCTGTGGCATAGCAGGTAAAGCTGCCACTTGCAGTGCCGGCATCCCATATGGGCGCTGGTTCAATCTTGGTTGCTCCTCTTCCGATCCAGCTCTCTGCTTTGGCCCTGGGAAGCAGTAGAAGATGGCCCAAGTCCTTGGGCCCCTGCACCCACGTGGGAGACCCAGAAAAACCTCCTAGCTCCTGGCTTCAGATTGGTACAACTCAGCTGTTGTGGCCAATCGGGGAGTGAACCAGTGGATGGAGGATCTCTCTCTCTCTCTCTGCCTCTCCTTCTCTCTCTCTGTAACTCTGACTTTCAAATAAGTAAATAAGTATTTTTTTTAAAAAGAAGTTTTTATTACCTTAGATTCTCAGGGTCACAGCAAATGCACAATTAATGCAACACAATTCTCCTGTTAATATAAAAATACAAAGAGAACAGATTCAATGTAGTTCATAAGTACAATTCTAAGAAAATAATGATATGTAGAATGAATCAGAATGCTTCAATGACTTCTCAATATCTACTAAGTCCTGAAAAGCAATGTTCATAAAACACTACAGGTATGATCAAGGGTAAGAGGCTTATGGTCTGCACATAGTGGGTTAGATTTTATTCTAAATGTTGCTTTCTATTGTCTTTTTTCCAGATATGGATCAACTCATAAACAATTTGGAAGTCCAGCTTAATTCAGAAGGTGGTTCAATGCAGGTTTTCAAACAGGTCAGTTATCAGGAAAATGAGTTGCTAATATTTGGTCATAAATATAGTCAGAGTTACCTGGTAATTACTGCAGAACAGAATCTCATTTTCTTTGTAAAATTACATGGAGGGTAATAATGTAAATGTTAGTCTCATCCAAAAACATATCTTCACAGAAACATCCAGTATAATGATTGACCAAATGTTTGACACAGTACCCAGCTAAGCTGTCACATACGATCACTATTCTGAATGTTGTTCCATTTTTCAGAAAAGAAAAGTGGCCTTGGAAAGCCCAAGAGTAAAGATTAAACATCATGTGTTGTTTTACAGCCACTGTGCTAGATATTGAAGTCCCATCTCATTCAGGGTTGAGTCAGCAAGCGAAACCCAACTACAATCAAAATTATCCTGAGAATCCCTTAAATTGCTTATAAAATTATGTTTATAGTTTGATGTGTACAGTTTTACTTAAGTCACCAGATAAAGTATTTAGCCTACATTTAGGCGTAATGATTTTTAATTGTTTTTGATCATTGCATGTTTGGCCCATGGTGTATAATTGAACTTAAGTTACACATACTATGGACGACTCCTCTGTACTGGTTTAATTACATTAAACTCAATTTAGTGTCTTGTTTGCCTTACTTGTAGCTGTTACCATTTAGGAACTATTAGCATATCAAAACTTGCTAATTGTTGCAAAACATCTACTAGTAGCCTAAACTTTCTCATAGTTAATACCAAAAGGAAGTTAGATATAAGTAGTGTTAGATAAAAATCTATTTGAACTTGTATAAAAAATAATTGGTAAAATGTTGTCAAACATGCATATAGTACCTTATTCTGAAGTTTCAGTGCATCCAAGTAGAATCTTTGGCACTGTGAAATACCAAACATGTTTTCCCTTGCCTTATCTAAGTATACTGAAGTTCCAGAATTTGAAAGCTTTTTAAATTTGGTTTGTTATGTACAAAATTCTAGTAGTAGGTGATGTAAGCACTTTTTTTGGTTTGTCTCTTGCTATTTCCAGGATATCTTGGATTGATTGTGCTACATAGCCACATAATATTGGTCATTTCTCTGGGGACAAAGACCAGGAATTTGTGCAATAATCACACAATACTTGCATCATCTGAGTGTCCAGAAACTTCCTGTTTTGGTTCTTTGTGTTAATTGTTTATGTCATGAGTTAGGATTGGTGAATGGCTGCCTAGCTGAGAACACACATGCTGTTCTTGCTTCTCTGAATTCCTGTATCATCATAGAAAAAAAGATTTTTTCAATTGGTTGTCACCTGCCTTTTGTTCTAAATGTCTGATTATCTTTTAGAAATGAGACTTTTTAAAATTTTCTCTATATTTTATTTAAAAGTGGTATGCTGCACAACATATTTCATTCTTTTTATGCAATTTTTTAATCTAATTTATTGAGCAAGCTTGAAATACATACATTCTGACATATGTCACATAAAACATTGAGAAGAAACTACATTTCAAATTCCCTCGCTGAGTTCACTGTATTTAGAAATGTAATTGTTTTGGATTGAAAGTGGAAATAGTTTTGAATTGTGATATTTATTGAACACTGAGTACAGGCTTAACTGTTTACATTAATTCATTCAATTGAACAATTATCTTTTAATTGCATTTTAATACACTCTTACAGGTGAGAGGACATATGCTAGATTGTTCAGTGTGACACAGCTAAAAGTGACAAAAATGATATGAAGTGAGGTTTTTTTATATTTTAAAAATGGATTTTAATTTATTTTTTTAATTTTTATTTTTTATGTTTTTAGTAGATTCAATTAAGTTCATAGATACAATTCTAAGAATATAATGATATTCGCTTCCTTTTTCCCTCCTTTCCCTTCCCTTCCTTTCTCTGTTTCTTCCATTCACTGGTTCACTCCCCAAATGGCTGCGACATCTGGAGCTGGGCCAATCTGAAGCCAGAAGCCAGAAGCTTCTTTTTGGTCTCCCATATGGATGCAAGTGCCCAAGTACATGGGCCATCTCCTGCTGCTTTCTCAGGTGCATTAGCAGGGAACTGGATAGGACGTGAAACACACAGGACTCTATAAACGGCGCCCATATGGGATGCCTTCCTCTCGGGGGGCTTTACCATATACACCATAGTGCTGGCCCCATGTTTTCTTACTTTTGAAAGTAAGTTTCATCAAGAAACTTCATGCCTAAATAATTCAACATGCATCACCTACAAATAACAGCATTACTCTCTGTATCAGTACTGTCACACCCAAGAAAATCAACAGTGTTTCATAACAATATCTAATTGGGTTATACATTTCTAAAAGGTTCTCAGTATCACTTTTCCCACACTTTCTTTCTGCCTGGATGGTGCCTTGGTTGGCCTAATTTACCAAACCTCCTACCTTCCATGGGTCCCAAATTCTAGTCCTATCTCTCTCATAAAAGTTTCACTGTTGTCCTCAATTTTCTCAATTTGTTAGTGCACCCATGTTTCTGGAACACCGAACTTTCTATCAGTAGCTCATGTGACTATGCTCAGCTGCTGCTGTCTCTTGTCTTCCAAGTGACACTTTTTTGTCTATCAAACTTCAATTTATTTACTAAATTCACATTTTTATCATATCTTTGCCATCAATATTATTACTTTAAAAAAATTCGCTGAGTTAACAAACTAACAAATCAATACATCAGTTATGTCCATGCAATTTGGATAATTCTGGGTTTGATGTGAGATGTTAGTTCCCTAGGACTGCTGTAACAAGTTGCATGAACTTGATGTTTTCAAATAAAAGAAATTAATTCTGTTATAGTTCTGGAAACCAGAAGTCCAGTGTGACTGACAGTCCCTCAGAAGCTTCTAGAGGAAATTGAGTTCCTTGCCTCTTTCAGCTTCTGGAGAATGGAGGCATTCCTTATCTTGTGACTCCCTGACTCCAAATTCTCCCTGAATCTTCACATCACCTTTACCTCTGTGTCTTTGTGTCACTCCTCTATGTGTCTCTTATAAAGAACTAGTCATTAAATTTAGCACTCCCTCTACCAGATAATCTGGTATGATCTCTTCAAGATTCTAAAGTTTATTTTACCTGCAAAGACCCTTTTTTCCAAATAAGGTAACATTCATAGGATTTGGGAATTAAATATGTACAAATCTTTTTTGGGACCACCATTTGACCCACTACAATGTGTTATATATATTTTTTTCTGAAGAGAAAATGAATATATAAATATTAAAATAAAATAATGTTATCCATGCATTCCCTCAAAACAATCTTAAGAATTTAAGAAATAGGCCAGCACCACGGCTCACTAGGCTAATCCTCCACCTGTGGCGCCGGCACCCAGGGTTCTAGTCCCACTTGGGGCGCCGGATTCTGTCCCAGTTGCTCCTCTTCCAGTCTAGCTCTCTGCTGTGGCCCAGGAAGGCAGTGAAGGATGGCCCAAGTCCTTGGGCCCTGCACCCTCTTTGGAGACCAGGAGGAAGCACCTGGCACCTGGCTTCGGATTGGCGCAGCGCGCCAGCCGTGGCAGCAATTTGGGGGGTGAACCAATGGAAGGTAGACCTTTCTCTCTGTCTCTCTCTCTCTCACACACTGTCTAACTCTGCCTGTCAAAAAAAAAAAGAATTTAAGAATTAAAAAAGAAAGAAAAAAGTTTGTATTATATTATTTTTATGTTTTATACAGTTCCATGCTGTGTACTAATATTTCCATATTTTCAGGCAAGTAGTTCAGCAAATACCTAATCAATGAATGAATATATGCATACACACACACACACACACATATATATATATATATACATATATTCACATATATGCATGTGTACACTTGTGATCTTATGTTGCCTGGATGTGGCCATTACTATCCCAGTCCCTTAAGACTGCTTATTTTGTTAGTTCATACATATTGATGAGTTCTTTTGTCTTATGGTGCTTCATTTCCTGATGTGATTGAGATGGTAGTGATATAAGATTAGAAATTCCTCTATGATTATATTAAATTCAGCTTTCTTTTACTTTTTTAAAAGATTTATTTGAAAGGCAGAGTTACAAGAGAGAGGAAAAGCTAAAGGAGGAGAGAGGGAGAGAGAGAGAGAGAGAGATCTCCTATCTGCTGGTTCACTCCTCAAATGGCTGCAACAGCTGAGCTGGGCCAGGCCAAAACCGGGATCCTGAAACTCCATTGGGTCTCCTACATGTGTGGCAGGACCCAGCTACTTAGGCCATCTTCTGCTGCTTTCCCAGGAACATGAGCAGGGAGCTGAATTGGAAACCAAGCAGCCAGGACTCGAACTGGCACTCATAGCATGCCAGCATCACACGCCACGGCTTGATCAGCTTCATCACAACACCAGCCGAAATCCAACTCTCTAGTAATATCTATATTCATTCACCTATTTTCTCTAATACACAAACACATGATGTCCTTATTGGAGAATAATTGGATTTTGAGAGGACTAAACTGACTTTTTGACTTAAAATACTCAATGTACAAATACTGAATGTACACAATATGTGTGCATTTGTGCACGTATATGCTCCAGGCATGAAATGATTAGTCTAAACCCAGAGCAGAGCTATAGCAGAGCTGTGTACAAAACAGCTTTCATTTTTCTTTTTGGGAGGAGCCATAGTGTAATCTTGTTACCATGACAACACCCCTTCCTGTTCTTTCCACCTACTGTGCTGTCTGGAGTATTTTGTGCTTTCATTTTCTTTCTAGTCTTCCCTTCTCACTTTCAATCTCCACATTCAGAGATGTTTCAGATAAATGAAAATTATTTTTAACGATTCCTCTGACTCATCATCCACCAAAGCTTTTCCACCAATCCTCATCAAATACTTAAGAGTACACATATTGGTGAAATTAACCTGCATTTCTTTCAGGAATTGGGGAATCCTAGGTAACTTTCTCCACTATCTTTGGTAGTGCATCAATAAACAACTCTTTTTGCCTTCTCAAATTGACTTAAGGTAAACTGATTGCAGTTATGCATAGGAAAGGAAATTAAAGCTTCCCTCAAAACCACTCCCCAGTTACTGCATTTTTTTTTCATGTACAGTGTTTTTCACAGAATTAGAAATCCTACAAAGCTGCAGCCTCAAGTTCTAAAATAGCAAATAGGGAAAGTAACTATGCTTTTTCTTTGAAGAAGATAGTGATTGACTAGAGAACACTTAAACACTAAAGCTGGGGCTGGCACTGTGGCATAGCAGGTAAAACTGCTGCCTGCAGTGCCAGCATCCCATATGGGCACCGGTTCAAGTCCTGGCTGCTCTACTTCCTATCCAGCTCCCTGCTAATGTGGCTGGGAGAACAGTGTCCTTGGGCCTCTGCACCTCCATGTGGGGGACCCAGAGGAAGTTCCAGGCTCCTGTCCTCAGATCAGCCCAGCTCCGGCCATTGCGGCCATTTGGGGAGAAAACCAGAAGATGGAGGATTTCTCTCTCTCTTTCTCTCTCTCTCTCTCTCTCCCTCCCTCCCCCCGCCTCTCTGTAACTCTGCCTTTCAAATAAGTAAATAAATAAATCTTAAAAGGATCTAAAGCCATCACAAAATGTTTAAGATGAGAAAAGGTGACTTAGAAAAATCTGATGATCTGATGGCAGTGCTTTAAATAAATTCTCAGAGTTGTGGAATAGGGAGCCATCCTGAGACATCTTAGTGAGAATTTCTAAAATTACCAGAATTCTGGAGCCAAAAATTTATTATCTCTGTAAATTATGTCTTTTTCAAAACCTTCAAGCCCTCAAATAACATGCTATCTAGAAAGAGAAGGTAAAACATTGTGTAATTGCCTTTTTAACCACAGGGATAGGTATATTCAAAGTATGTGATTAATCAGACTATATATAAGGGCACTTCAAAGAGTTCATGGACATGAAGCCGTAAGATAAGTTTAGGGGCTGGCACTGTGGCTTAGAAGGTTATGCCTCTGCTTGTAGTGCCAGCATCCCATATGGGTGCTGGTTCGAGTACTGGCTGCTCCACTTCTAATCCAGATCCCTGCTATTGTGCCTGGGAAAATCAGCAGAAGATAGTGCAAGTACTTGAACCCCTTCACCCATGTCGAAGACCAGGAAGAAGCTACTAGCTCCTGGCTTTGGCCTGGCCCTGGCCTGGGAGTTGTGGCCATTTGGGAAGTGAACCAGTGGATGGGAAGATCCCCCTCTAAGACTTATCTAAAATATCACTGCCTTCTTGAAGCCTTCCCTGACTAGACAGAATGAAGAGTTTCCATTTCTTTTTCTAAAACACTTTGCTTGTTTGTCTGTGCATGACTTGTTATGATACAACTTGCAAGTTACATTATTTTGTCATTATAATTAGTATATTAGTATGCTCTTCTTGGCTGTACCTTATTCATTTATGCTGCTACTTTGCTTGGCATAATTCTTTTTTTTTTTTTTGACAGGCAGAGTGGACAGTAGAGAGAGAGACAGAGAGAAAGGTCTTCCTTTGCCGTTGGTTCACCTTCCAATGGCCGCCGCGGCCAGCGCGCTGTGGCCGGCGCACTGCGCTGATCCGAAGCCAGGAGCCAGGTGCTTATCCTGGTCTCCCATGGGGTGCAGGGCCTAAGCACTTGGGCCATCTTCTACTGCACTCCCTGGCCACAGCAGAGAGCTGGCCTGGAAGAGGGGCAACCGGGACAGAATCCGGTGCCCCAACCGGAACTAGAACCCGGGGTGCTGGCGCTGCAAGGCAGAGGATTAGCCTAGTGAGCCGCAGCGCCGGCCTTGGCATAATTCTTGTACTGGATACTCAGAAAGTTTTGACCCTAATTAATATTGCAGGATTATTGTGAAGATTACATGAAATGATTTTTATCAGTTGCCTAATACAATACATGGTACTTACTGATGCTCAGTAACATTTCCTTTCCTTTTTACTCTTTAGTGTTTTCCCAGTACCTTGTGTTTTTTCCATGAAAAAGGAATAAAGATTTATTTCTTTCATTGTTGACATGTGCCTTTAGGGTACTAATGCTGACTGTTTTACATCTTTTACATTGTTTCTTTCTTTATTTCAGGTCACTAACCCTGTTCAGATCAAAGATCCCCCTCAGACACCTGACAGAGTTAATATGACATCTTCACAACTCCTAGATGCCAACCCCATGGAGAATCCAGTCCTGTTTAATGACATCAAGATTGAGCCCCCAGAAGAACTTTTGGCTAATGATTTCAACCTGCCCCAGGTGGAACCAGTTGACCTCTCCTTTCATAAGCCCAAGGCTCCTCTTCAGCCTGCCAGCATGTTGCAAGCTCCAATACGTCCTCCCAAGCCACAGTCTGCTCCCCAGCCCCTTGTGGTGTCCACATCAACATCTGACACAAGCACTTCGGCCAACATCCCTACTGTTTTGACTCAAGGCTCTATCCTGGCCTCCTCTCAGGCCACTGGTGGCCAGCAGATCTTGCATGTGATTCACACCATCCCTTCAGTCACTCTGCCAAATAAGATGGGTGGCCTGAAGACTATCCCAGTGGTGGTACAGTCTCTGCCCATGGTATATACTACTTTGCCTGCAGATGGGGGCCCTGCAGCCATTACAGTACCACTTATAGGAGGAGATGGCAAAAATGCTGGATCAGGTGAGCATCAATTCATTTTTTTGAGTGTCTCACATTCCTCCATCTATTCCCTTTGTGGGTTGTCCTATCTGCTATCTTTTCTCTCTCTCCAATTATTCTTGCACACTGCGTAAAAAGTAATATTTCATCAAAATTCTTTTTTTAAATTACGAAGTCTTTTATTTCATTTTCATTTTATTTTTAATTGTAACAAATTCAATGATTTGTAGATACAAGAAATTATGAAGTCTTATGTTTAAGTCAACCAATAGATAAGGCCTACTATACGTTAGAATCTTCTGCAGCTTTCATAAAGCTTAAAATACTTTTCATTAAATGATGAAAAGTTGTGCTAATTTTTTTATTTAGTAAATATAAATTTCCAAAGTACAGTTTATGGATTACAATGGCTTCCCCCCCCCCATAATTTTCCTCCCACTCTCACCCCTCCCATCTCCCGCTCCCTCTCCCATTCCATTCACATCAAGATTCATTTTCAATTATCTTTATATACAGAAGATCAATTCAGTATATATTAAGTAAAGATTTTATCAGTTTGCACCCACACAGAAACACAAAGTGTAAAATACTGTTTCAGTACTAGTTATAGCATTACTTCACATTGGACAACACATTAAGGACAGATCCCACATGAGAAGTAAGTACACAGTGACTCCTGTTGTTGACTTAACAAATTGACACTCTTGTTTATGGCATCAGAAATCTCCCTAGGCTCTAGTCATGAGTTGTCAAGGCTATGGAAGCCTTTTGAGTTCGCTGACTTCGATCTTATTCCGACAGGGTCATAGTCAAAGTGGAAGTTCTCTCCTCCCTTCAGAGAAAGGTACCTCCTTCTTTGATGGCCCGTTCTTTCCACTGGGATCTCACTCGCAGAGATCTTCCATTTAGGTCTTCTTTTTTTTTTTTTCCAGGGTGTCTTGGCTTTCCATGCCTGTAATACTCTCATGGGCTCTTCAGCCATATCCGAATGCCTTACGGGCTGATTCTGAGGCCAGAGTGCTATTTAGGACATCTGTCATTCTATGAGTCTACTGTGTATCCCGCTTCCCATGATGGATCATTCTGTCCCTTTTTGATTCTATCAGCTAGTATTATCAGACACTAGACTTGTTTGTGTGATCCCTTTGACTCTTAGACCTATCATCAAAATTCTTTTAACAATGTCTCTTTAATTCTTTTTTAAAAGATTTATTTATTTATTTGAAGACACAGTTACAGAGATAGAGAGAGAGAGAGAGAGAGAGAGAGATTGGTTTACTCCCCAGATGGCTGCAACATCCCAGGCTGGGCCAGGCCAAAGCCAGGAGCCAGGAGCCAAGAGTTTCATCCAGGTTTCCCACATGGGTGACAGGAGCCCAAGTATTTGGGTCATCTTCTGCTGCTTTCCCAGGCACACTAGCAGGGAGCTGGATTGGAAATGTCGCAGCTAGACCTTGAATTGGTGCTCATAGAGGATGCTAGCATTATATGTGGCGGCTTAACTCGTTACACCACACTGCTAAACCCTAATTCTTAAGAACATATAATGACAGGGCCAGTGCTGTAGTGCAATGGGCTAAAGCCCTGGCCTAAAGCGCTAACATCCCATATGGGCGCTGGTTCTAGTCCCGGCTGCTCCTCTTCTGATCCAGCTTTCTGCTATGGCCTGGGAAAGCAGTGGAAGAGGGCCCAAGTCCTTGGGCCCCTGCACCCAGGTGGGAGACCCGGAAGAAGCTCCTGGCTCCTGGCTGCAGATTGGCACAGTTCTGGCCATTCTGGCCATCTGGGGAGTGAACCAGCAAATGGAAGACCTCTCTCTCTGTCTCTACCTCTCTCTGTAACTCTGTCTCTCAAATAAATAAAATAAATCTTTTTTTAAAAAAGAGCATATAATGACTGTAAGACTGTGCTTCTCAAGTGAGTATGCATATACTTGAGTGAAATATTATGCATATTCCTGGAACCTCTATATTATACAATAGTAAATAATTTAGGGCATTTTCTATTTAAATATAATTATGTTATAGAAGAAAATGCAAAAGTTGAATAACCATGTAATATAAAATGCAAACTTCAAAAATAATTTAAACTTACTAAGTCACCCGCCATGGGACTTTTCTGAAGAATGTGTTCATTCTTTTATGTCATTAGGAATGCTTTGATGGAAAAATTGAGAGCAATGTTTTTATTTAGCTAACCTTAGCTTATGCGTCTCCCAATACATTCCAATACCTTCCCTTTTCTCTCCCCTTCAAAAAATTCTTCTCTGAAATATTTCTATCTTCCCTGCATTCCTCTTTTAGATTATCACCATCCATTTTTCTTTTTTACTTGCCTATATCACAAGTGTATGAAAAGTATTTCCAACTCAATTGTAAATTTCTCAAGAATATGACCCTTATTTTTTTTGTGAATGTACCTCTACAGACAAATTGACAAGTACTAAATAGTAATTGTCTCACAACAATTTTGATGAACAAATGAATTTAAAACTTTTTCCAGGAGAAAATTTGTGTGCTGTAATAGTCCCATTCATTTATTTTTTAAAATAAATTAAGAAATGTTTAAACTGTCTCCCTTCTGCCTCTATCCCCCAGCTACCAAATTCCCCTCCCAGAGATACATCTCCTTAGTTAGTAATGCAAAATATATTTAACTTTACCTCATCTGTACCATTACAATCAGTTTTTGAGTGTTGTGTTTTAGGAAGACATTGAGAAATTGTAGGATAAGGAGAGGAGAAAGACAAGAATGTTAGGAAGGCACAAAGTCATGTCAGATGAAGAGCTGATAATGCTTAGCATGAATTAAAAAGGCCAAAAGGAAAAAAATATGTGGGTGAAAATGACCAGGTACCAGATTCCAGCTCAGTCTACAAATTTTCTGAGTCATCTACCTTTTTTTTTTTTTTAAAGATTTATGTTATTTATTTGAGAGACAGAGTTACAGAGAGAGGTAGAGACAGAGAGTCTTCCATTCCCTGGTTCACTCCCCAGATGGCCGGAACGGCTGGAACTGTGCCAATCTGCAGCCAGGAGCCAGGAGCTTCTTCCGGGTCTCCCACCTGGGTGCAGGGGCCCAAGGACTTGGGCCCTCTTCCACTGCTTTCCCAGGCCATAGCAGAGAGCTGGATCGGAAGAGGAGCAGCCAGGACTAGAACCAGCACCCATATGGGATGCCAGCGCTTCAGGCCAGGGTGTTAACCCACCGCGCCACAGCTTGGGCCCCTGTATCAACTACCTTTGAAATTCAATACCCTGTATGTATTTCATCACTATAGGAGGCTATTAAAACAACATATATGCATAGAGTTGCTTAGGCTCTGCAGTGGCTTTTAAGAAAAACACCATTACCAGCTAGTGGTTAATTTTGGTAATGATAGATATTCGTAACAATCTTGTTTTTGTGATGTGATGTCAATTTCCACATGGGAATCCCACCCCCCTAAGAAAACACATAAAAAGGAAATAAAATTCTTTATGTGGAAGTGTTTATATAAGGCAATAGTAGCATCAAGAATTACTTTGAAAGAGCTTTGAACTGTGCCTCCCCCCATAATATCCAACTGTCCACCATAACCACTCTAAATCAGTTTCAAACTAAGGACATTAGTCCAGTCATGTGCAAACTGAATGCTTTTACCTTGATGTAGGGGACACAAAAATAACTGGAGCAAGAGAAGAATCAAAATATATAATTTCTTAGCCTTTATGCATTTTTGGTTGGTTTTTAATAATATGCATAAACTTTTAGGATATTAGTATATTTGTATCATGTACACACAGAGACATGAACACATATTGACATGCATGCTTAAATCTTTTTAGTGAATCACACCAGTGAATAATAACAAGGGATATTTGAGAATTTCTCCTAACATAACTGAAAAGGAAGGGAGCTAATGTGTGTCAGGTACCTACCAGGTGCTAGTTACATGTTTCATCTCAATTATTCTTTTCCATTTTGGTGGCCAAAAGAGATGTTTTGACCTCTGAGATAATCCTAGGAATTGATTTTAGGAAGCCAGGGAATTTTTTCAGAGAATTCAATTCAACAAACATTCAATGAATCTGACATTATTAGGCTAAGTCTTAGGAGTTAGAGAGAGATAAACGAATCATATTGACTTCATACCAGAAAAATTCACATTCTAATGGCAATAAAAGCTTTTAACTACCCTTGCCTCAAAGGCAGTTCTGTTCCTTACTATGCTAAAAATGAAAATATATAATTTTCTTTCTACCATATAAATACACTTTTCTTCCATCTTTGCTTTTTCTTTATCTCTCTATCTTGCTGCTACTTCTCATGCAGTTCAAACTGGGAATCCCTGAAAATTACAAAGAAAATGATTACAAAGGCACATACATTCTGGTCCACATTGCCCTCTTTCTTTGCTTTTAGTGAAAGTCGATCCCACCTCCATGTCTCCACTGGAGATTCCGAGTGACAGTGAGGAGAGTGCAATTGAAAGTGGATCCTCAGCCTTACAGAGTCTACAGGGACTGCAACAGGAGTGAGTATTCTTTTAAAAACATATTTATTTGTTTATTTTCATCTACTTGAAAAGCAGTGAGAGAGTGAAAGAGAGATCTTCCATCAGCTGGTTCACTGCTCAGATGCCCACAGCAGCCAGTACTGGCCCAGGCCAAAACCAGAAGCCCAGAACTTCATCCAGATTTCCTTCATGGGTGGCAGAGGCCTAAGCACTTGAGCCATTATCAGCCACCTCCTAGGGTATGCATTAGCAGGAAACTGGATCAGAAGCTGGGTAGCCAGGATTGGGCCTAGTACTCTGATAGGTGATGCAAGTGTCCCAAGTAGCAGTCTTGCCTGCTGTGCCACAACACCGATCCCTACTGTTAGTACTTTTGTCTTTACTTCAGGTCTTTCTGTTTGTGTGCCTATGTGTACACATGCATGTATAGGTGAAGCTAATTACCAGATACAACAGAAGCAATTTGACAACATAATATAGATAAACTTCCTTTCCAGAAAAGGCATGTGAATCTGTATGTACACAAGTGCATGCACATGCATGTTATGATGGAGCTATTTTCCAATTGTGGATTATCAATTTCACCCTTGAAAAATCTTCGAATTTCCCATAAAGTGCAGTTGTAGTTCTCTCTGTTAAGCATTGTCTACCATTGTTGGAACCAGTTGGCTTGTGTTCAGCAACAATGTTGCATGAAAAATAAGCTTCCTTAAGCACAACAATCATATGCGTTGCAATGAAATGCTCACTCTGGGAATACAACCAACCAAGGAAGCATAAGTACTTTGCATGCTTTCTGAGGCCTTGCATTTACTGAAAGAAATGGTCTACTTGAGAGAATTGCTTGTGCTAGTCCAATTATTTCTTCTCAGGGGGATCCAGCATTGCATTTATATAAATTAAAACCAGGTATTATGTGGCACTACTATATGTAAGACTATTTCTTTAATCTTCACATTAATGTAAGTTTTTGACCTTATTTCTTTTTTTGTTCAGACCAGCTGCAATGACCCAAATGCAGGGAGAGGAGTCACTTGATTTGAAGAGAAGACGAATTCATCAGTGTGACTTTGCAGGATGCAGCAAAGTGTACACTAAAAGCTCTCACCTGAAAGCTCACCGCAGAATTCATACAGGTCTGCAAACACCAACCAACCTTCAACACACACACACACACATACACACACGCACACTATATCTGAGAGCTCAGAAGGGAAGGACATCTTGCAACAAAGACTGATTCTTTTATAGTCATATGCACAGGCTCCATTCAAGGTTTTTAACCTCTGCCTTGTTCTTACTATAAGGCAACATGTAAAAACCAGCCTAGGAAAACACTGAGTGTGGTGTGTTCTGATTGGTCACCACCACTGTGAGTCTTTATAATTGGAAATTTGTAGCACTGCGGTGAAAATTAAGGCAGACAGAATTTTTTTTATTTTATTTTTTGACAGGCAGAGTGGACAGTGAGAGAGAGAGACAGAGACAGAGAGAAAGGTCTTCCTTTTGCCATTGGTTCACCCTCCAGTGGCTGCTGTGGCCGGCGCATTGCGCTGATCTGAAGCCAGGAGCCAGGTGCTTCTCCTGGTCTCCCATGGGGTGCAGGGCCCAAGCACTTGGGCCATCCTCCACTGCACTCCCGGGCCAGAGCAGAGAGCTGGCCTGGAAGAGGGGCAACCGGGATAGAATCCGGCACCCCATCCGGGAGTAGAACCCGGTGTGCCGGCGCCGCAGGGCAGAGGATTAGCCTAGTGAGCCAAGGTGCCGGCCAAGGCAGATAGAATATTACTCCATCCCCTTCTACCAGGGCCCCACAGGTTTTTCTGAGTATGGAAAAGTACAAAAGTTATTTAAACTAGTCAACATTAAAGCAGGCTTTTGGAGCTCAGCACCATGCATTTGCATATGATGTACTTTTATTCATATTAGGAAAAAAGTTACACATAAATGAGTAAAGCAGACATCATGATGGCTGACTCAAACTGGAGGGCACATGCCCCATTTGAAGCAGAACTGCTATTTAGCTCCAGCTGAGTATTAGTTAATTTCTTAATTTTTAAACACCACAACCAGAAAATAAAGGTTTTCATGTGAAATGTCTTAGATTTTTAATTCTGGCATCCAGTTAAAAAATTCTTTTTGACACTAAAAATTCAAAGGAAACTGCCTAGAACCCAGATGCAACACATTAGCCATAAATTTGTTGCCCTTTGCCTTTACAACTCCTCCCAGCTTAGAATTGAAAGTTAGATAACTTGGACAAGGAAGAGGTCCTCTGTTCATGTAAATATTTGCTGTTTTACCTTTGCTATATTAAGATGTGTGTGGAAGGTCCCAGAAACCTTGTTGCTGTACTTTGAAGCTATGAGCAAGTGATAGATTTCCAGGCTCCATTATCCCAATATTTTCATGACTCTATTTTTATTTATTGATTTTTTTATTTGCTTCTCTTTAATATGAATGGATACTGATTCTACTGACTATATTTTGCCATTGGTTTGTGATCTCAGGTGTAGTAACTTAGAAGCACTTCACAGATACATTTCAACTTGCCATGTGTATTTGTGTGTGTGTGTGTATACACATTTAAAACAAAGCTTTTTTGGGGGAAGATTTATTTATGTATTTGAAAGGCAGAGTTACAGAGAGGCAGAGGGAGAGAGATAGAGAGGTCTTCCATCCACTGGCTCACTCTCCAGATGACCACAACAGCTGGAGTTGTGCTGATCCGCAGCCAGGAGTCAGGAACTTCTTCCAGGTCTCCCACACACGTGCAGGGGCCCAAGGTCTTAGGCTATCTTCTTACTGCTTTCCCAGCAGAGAGCTGGATCAGAAGTGGAGCTGCCGGGACATGAACTGGTGCCCATATGGGATGCTGGCACTGCAGGCAGTGGTTTTACCCTCTACACCTGCAGCACTGGCCCCAACCTAAGCTTTTAATATGAGAAAAATAGCTTACTGTACTTTGTTGTACTCTTCATCTAACGTTAAAAATTATATCAGTCCATGCCAATTTTGTTTCTTCTACATTCCCACTTACTCCCCCATCCCCCTATTTAATTATTTTGAAACAAATACCAAACATCATATTTTTGTCATAAGTATGTCAGAATATATGTTAACAGACACTTTCCAAAATAAGCACAATACTATTAGTATATAAAATTTCCTTAATATCAAATTTCCTCAAATGTTTAAAAACTATTCTTTAAAGCATTGCTGAAATCCGTATCTAAACAAAGATCATTCATTGAATTTGGTTAAAATTTTTCATAATTATAATATTTATTTTTCTTCCTCTTTTGTTTTTTTTTTTAATTTATTTGACAGGTAGAGTTTTAGACAGAGAGAGAAAGACAGAGAGAAAGGTCTTTCTTCTGTTGGTTCACTCCCCAAATGGCTGCTATGGCCGGCGCTGCGCCGACCTGAAGCCAGGAGCCAGGTGCTTCTTCCTGGTCTCCCATGCAGGTGCAGGGGCCCAAGCACTTGGGCCATCCTCCACTGCCCTCCCACACCACAGCAGAGAGCTGGACTGGGAGAGGAGCAACCGGGACTAGAACCCGGAGCCCATATGGGATGCCGGCACTGCAGGCAGAGGATTAACCAAGTGAGCCATGGTGCCAGCCCTTGGTTTTTCAACATAAAACATTGGTTATTTTTCCAATAGAGCTCTCCATGTTTTGAATTTTTATGATTATATCTTTATTGCATAATTACAATGTGTTACTGGTTCCCCATAGTTCCTATAAGTTGATGGATAAATCTGGAGGGTTAATCAAATTCAACTTCAATTTTTGGCAACAATAGATCATAAGAGATGTTGTGTACTTTCTGTTGCATGATTTTAGAGAGCACATGCCACTTGATTGTCTCTATGTAATATTAAGATTGATCAGTGGGTTTAGGTAGCAGTTCTATATTTTCTAGATTATAAAGTTAGAAAGTAGATCTGAAGCCTATTGAATGAGTTTATTTAATGAGAAGCAATGTGGTATAATTAAAACATACATATATCATTGATTTGTCCAGATAGAATTGAGTTCAAATGTCCTTTCCTTACTATCTATTGCCTTCACATACATGAAGATGCCAGTTCACATATTTCCCCTCTGGGTTTTGAAATCATGCTTCTTGAAGGTAAAGAGGAATAAAATGATGAACAAGGAGCTTAGAATACCTGAGTTCTAATCTCAGCTCACCACCTAAGTGCTGTATTATCTGGTACAAGTCTATCTCATTGATCTCAGATTTCCCAAAAATGAGGGGCTTGGACTAAGTGATCCCATTTGACTTTTGTTGTCCAGAGACCTATGGTTTGAATTTGAATGTATCTTAACACATGCCTCTCTAGAAGGTCCCATATATACACAGGTTGGAAGTGTATTTATATATTTATTTATTTATTGACAGGCAGAGTTAGACAATGAGAGAGAGAGACAAGGAGAAAGGTCTTCCTTCCGTTGGTCCACCTCCCAAATGGCCACTAAGGCTGGCGTGCTGCACCAATCTGAAGCCAGGAGCCAGGTACTTCCTCCTGGTCTCCCATGCGGGTGCAGGGCCCAAGCACTTGGGCCATCCTCCACTGCCCTTCCAGGCCAGAGCAGAGAGCTGGACTGGAAGAGGAGCAACCGGGACAGAATCCGGCACCCCAACAGGGACTAGAACCCCAGGGTGCCGGCGCTGCAGGTGGAGGATTAGCCTAGTGAGCCGCAGCGCCGGCCAGAAGTGTATTTATAATACTGAAGGTTTGGCTGTCTTTCATATAACCCCCCCCCTTTAATGTTTGAACTGAGATAACAGAATATATATTATTTGCTTTTATTTTCCTTTTAGATTTCAGTGCTATTTTCCCCCAGAGTGGTGTCACCTTCTCATAGAAGGGCCCAATATATAGTTTCTCATGTGTCAGCTTCTCTGGTGTCAGCTTTTCGTAAGATAAGCCCAATATATAGAGAATGTTTTTGCTTTTGTTTTTATTTTATTTTTTCAGGTGAACAAATTTTGTGTATTTCATATATATGCATTCAGGAGCAGAGTATACTTCCCAGTCTACCTTCACTCTTGCCCATGTTCCCACCCTTCCTTCTTCCCTCATTCTTCCTTTCCCATTCCTTCCTTAAATTTTTACAATGATCTACTCCCAGTCTATTTTGTACTCACAAAATTAACCCTACACTAAGCAGAGTTCCATAAATAGTAGGAAAAAGAAAACACTGTTCTTCAACAGTAGAGACAAGAGCTGTAAAAAATCATCTAATCTCAAAATGTCAATTTCACTTATGTATATTACATTTCTTTGGTGCTCTATTAGTTACCACAATCAGGGAAAACATATGGTATTTGTCTTTTTGGGACTGCCATATTTCACTAAGTATAATAGTTTCCAGTTGCATTCATTTTGTTGCAAAAGACAGGATTTCATTCTTTTTTATGGCTGAGAAGTGTGCATTTATACATATATGTATACATCACATTATATATATAACAATTTATATATATAAAGATATATATATATACACATATATATGTATATATAAACACATCACGATTTCTTTTTCCGGTCATAATTTGATAGACATCTGGTTTAATTCCATATCTTAGCTATTGTGAATTGAGCTGCAATAAACAAGGGCACAGATAACTCTTTCATGTGCTTATTTCATCTCATTTGGGTATATTCCCAGGAGTGAGATTGATGGAATGCTATATCTGTTTTCAGCTTTCTGAGGTATCTCCATACTGTCTTCCACAATGGCTGTACTAGTTTATGTTCTCACAAACAGTGGATTAGGGTACATTTTCCCCTCATCCTCGCCAGCTTGTTTGTTGTTGTTGTTGTTGTTGATGATGATCTCTGTATGCAAGCCTTTCTAACTGGGATGAAATGAAACCTCATTATGTTTTTGGTTTGCATTTCCCTGATGGCTAGTGATACTGAGCATTTTTTTCATGTGTCTGCTGGCCATTCGAATTTCCTCTTCTTTCCAGTTCTTAACCGGATTGTTTGTTTTGTTGTTGTTGAGTTTTTTGAGCTCTTTATATATTCTAGATATCAATCCTTTATAAGTTGCATAGTTTGCAAATATTTTCTTGCATCCTGTCAATTTCCTCTTCACTTTGATTGTTTCCTTTACAG